CCATCAATCTTCCCAATGATGCACAATGCCAACGTGCGCCCCCATGTTGAACATGCCACCCAAACTTGGCAATCTAAATTGAAGTGCGACCTGGAAGTTCTAGAAACACCACAATGCAGGGCCACAAAGAACGTCAAGGGCGTACACAATCTGCCTTACCAGCGAAGTCTGAAGTTGCTGAGTTTTTTCAGCGGACGCTACCGACGTCTGCGTGGTGATCTCATACTTCTGTACCAAACATCGTCGCCATTTGCTGAAACGTAGTCACAACACCAACATCAGAGGTAACTACCTGAACTGAGTGAACAATACAGCCGTCTAGAGTGTCGACGGAATTACCTTTCTCATCTGTCTTGCCAAACTTGGAACTCTCTGCTTATCTCAGTTGTCTACTACCTCACTATGAATTTTTCAGAACACTATTTGATGTTACCTTTGAATCCCATCAGTTTGTTGGCGCAGTTATGCGCTATTGGGCACGTTTCCAGGTTGCGGATTGGGGAATGCCTTCCTTGTGGAGGTGACTGCGAATAAGCCTCTTTTGCTTTGCAGGCAAGATAAATAAGCAGTTTCAGCCAATCAGCCGCAGCGTCTTGGAGCGTGGGGAGTTCTGGGCTGGTCACCTGGTTCTCCATCAGATATCAAAAGAGCTCCTACGACGCTGTGTCAAAGCCAATGTGACTGGCTATAGGGTCACTGACCACTCACTTTTGTAATCAGACGTGAGTAGTGAACGGAGGGCGGATGCAAAGTCTTGCAGGTCACCGGCTTCTGTGTCGACTGCTAACGAACACAAAGAAGGCGAATGAGTCACGCGGCTGCCAACGGTTTTCTTGAATCGCCCCACTGCCTTGCGGGTCAGGTCTTTAAGACCAAATGCTCGGGGTGGGGTCCCTCAAGTCAACCCACTTCTTTGGCCTGGGCAAATGGGAAGCTCTCTGTTCACACAACGCATGTACATTCTGTAGCCTCCCAACTCTTATACTGACTACCTGTTTTGCTCGTTTTGTTGTTGTTAACCATATGTTGTGGCACCGACAATTTGTCAACTGTTGGATATATATATATATATATATATATATATATATATATATATATATGGTTGGCGGCATCCGGTTTCGGATTTGCCTGTCACTGTGGTCAGCCACAGGACGCCTGCGCCTACAGAGGGACCATGGATGGCTTGCGCTGCACCACCCACAGCTCCATCCACACACCACATATCCAGTGTAAACCCGAAGGAATAACACTGGGAGGCATGCGGATGGGAGCCACGTTTCATCAACGGAGCCGGCCCACACTCCTTCATAGACAAACACAAGCACGCTGTATTTGGAGAATCAAGCGCACACAAGGCGGTGGCTGGACCGTAGTCCGCTCCACACTGAGTGCATGGAACCACTCTTCGAGCCTAGCACGACCACAAGGACCGTGCACCCCGTCCACTCCAGCAACGACCAACTGTCTCCTGGAGCCAGTATGGACGAGATAGTGGGTAATAGACAGGTAGGCACCTTGTCAACATGCACATCAAGCGCAGCCACACCTGGGATGTCAAACAACAGCCAATCATTCGAAATGCCGATATCGATTAAAGTAAACGCATATGACGACATAAATGCTCGCTAAATAAGGATATAGAAGAAGTCGGTTATAAGTGAATCCGTGATAAGGACAAAATGTCCGAAAGTCATGTAAAAATACCACGCGATAAAATTACGCAGGTTTACCACAATTTGCGTGAGCGACGTGTGCAAGTAAGGAGAAGATTATCAAGTACGCAGAACAAACCAAATAACATGTGACAAATTTTATCCACATTAAAAAGACCTAGTTTAAGTGTAAATTGGTTTATCCATATATATATATATATATATATATATATATATATATATATCACTTCACCGTCTAAACTGTGCTATTTTTCAAGGTATTAAATATGCATTCAAACCGGATTTATGTGTAACATAAATCCAAGGAGGCGGTATATGTGTGAGTAACCTTGTTTTGGATTTTCTCACGGGATATATCAGCTATAACTGCCCCTACGTTGTCTAGCTGTTTGCATTCAATTCGCATTTTATACTACTGTTATACAGCGACGCATTCGCTCGATGGGCGCTTGAACAGATAACTCACGTAACTTTTGCTATTGTAGTTTTACTCCTACCATCCTGCTGGACTTGTCAAGAACCTGCTATTTACGCTTGCTAGTTCATTGCTTATTAGTTCAACGAAGCCATGTTTTGTGGTAAATTATCAGTCCACACCCTACACGTACTGTCGTTTTGAAGATGTGTTATGTCGGGTATGGTGATCGTAACATCTGTGATCTCAAAGCTAAGTCATGTTTTGTTGATCATTATGATACGACTGTGAAGCCTGACGGCATCTGAGTTCGACCAAATTACTAACAACCTTGGTGTACAAGCAACAATATTTTCGGTAACCAAAAGTGAGTCAGTGAATGTTTAGGGTGGCAACTGTGCCGACCGTTGAGGGATCGGTCACAAGCCGGTTTTTCTGGAGTCGTTGGTCCTTGAGTTACGGTTCAAGTCAACTCGAGTCAAAATAACGCTTTATGAACTCATATGGGTTCATTTCCAACATTCACATCAACATTGCGGAGAAAGTGGATGATAATATCAATGAACATACTTGGGGGGAAATGGAAAAGATACTCAAATGTCATTGCAACAACCGCTAGCGCGGCATGTTCATAACTTTCACTGGATCAACAAGCAGACGTGATAGATAGGGCAAGCTATTATTACGATAGGATGACGTACGGGAGAATAAAATTTTGAATTTCGAAACCGTAGAAGAGAAAGCGAGTATCTGATAACGAGGACTGTAAATGGATGAAAATGATCAGTTAGTATCTTAAAAGAAAAATTATTACAGGCAGCAAGAAATCTAGAATTGCTCAAGTCTACTAACAAATCTCTAGAGAAGCCACCGCATCTAGAAATGTGCTTTATAGATCGTACCAATAAGAGGTTTTCTGAATCAGTCTAGGACAGACGACATGAGAGCTGTATACACAATGGAAAATAATGCAGGATGTGACAAACTAAAGGAACCTTAATTCTGAGGCCATAAAAAGGAAGTTTTCTGACTTTTTGGACTAAGTAAGTTACTAGAACAAAATCACACGGAAGTACTTGGAAGTGGAGGATATGGGTATGGGATTTTAGTTCACATTAATGCTGGAGTAGAAATATATGAGAGACTGCAACTTATCTCCTAGAAGAAAGGAAAATATTAACTTACCGCATTTAGAAGCGTTAAGTGTGAGAGATCTGGATGGAAACCACCGCCAAGCTAGGGGAAAAAATGCACAATTGAAGACCACTCCACCAGATCCTCCAACCCATGTTGAAGTGATGTGGAACCCTGAGTAGTGGGGGTCGTAGGTTCCAGCACAACGGCATCAGTATATTTGCATCCTATAAATGTGGTTTGTATAGTAAGATGTTCAACATATAGGGAAAATAAGAAAGGTGGTAAGATCCCACCCTGCAAAACACCACAGTCGACACCGAGGACAGAGGACTCTTTGCCACTCGATTTAGTGAAGTGAATAGTATCCAGAAAACCGTCAAGCAACAGATTACACACAACCGGGTGAACACCATTTTCGGATAGTAAGTTCAGAAACATTGACCTATCCAGGCTTCCAAAGGCATTCGAATAATCTCGGGGGTAAAGTTGTACGGATATGCAGTTTTGGCCTAATGCAGGCGCCACAGAATGAACAAGATATTCACTGTATCCAATGTCGTGCGCTGGGGTCCGTACGCAAACTGGTATATATACTCCTCAGGAGTGGCCGTAAAAATCCCCGGAATTAACAGTTTCTCGAAAACTTTAAGAAGCACTGATACACACGCAATCGGACAATTCTTTTCAGATCCATTTTGGGTACTGGGGTTAGACGGGCGCATCTCCAGATGTCCGACATCATACCCAAAGTGAGGCATTTGTTAAAGAGATTAGTTAAGGGTGATGTGGGGGAATCAGAACACTCTTTCAAAGCTACTGCGGAGAGATCAAGGGACCTTGATCAAGTTACGTGTGATTGTCGGCTAAGTTAACGCAACCAGGTCTGTGCAAATCCATTGCAGTTAATTAACCCGAAAACGATAAGATTTAGCGCTTGGAACTGAGCTCGACAGCTGCAAACATAGCGCAGAAAATAATTCCGGGCAAGGTGGCTAAGTGGATATAGCAATTTGATATGAACCGGATGAGTAAGCTGAATACACTGACAGGATATGGAGATGCGGCTGAAAAATGATATGATCGCTCGTATGTCAGTGACACATACAATCGCACCGAGTTCCAGGAAGGTATACTACCATCGTGTTCAATTATTTGCTTAGAGCACCGGATACGTTTACTTTCCGTGAAGTCGCCGACATCCTATAAAGAATGTAGTTGGATTACGATGTAATTTTTAAGCAAAAATTTAGTGATAAATGCCCACCCTGGGAAGCGTAGCGATGGGTAAAAAACAAATCAGCGCTGGTGACAAGAGGTCTTGCACTTTTGGAAAAAATATTTCACCCTGAGCGAGATCGTCCTAGTCCACAGTAGTGAGTTGATGTGCGCTCCTCTTCGTCCCTCCAAAAGATCTATTAAATGATCCCTGCTTAAGGACAGATTCATTTTAATTACGCGACTCTTAAATGATTTCGGTGTACTTTCCCATAGTGGACTAAACGTCTGTCACAAGTGTGCAAAAAATTAAAGGAGGTCCAGAAGTTCAAAAAATTAGTGGGAATTCCAGCTGTAGTCTGTGAAAGAGTATTGTAACGATCGCATGCTAATGAGAATTCCAAGGTGAGAATTGTTTCTGATCGGCTGTCATAAACAGAGTAATCTCTTATACCCCTACAAGTTTATGGCATGATCGATCTAATTGTCCTGGCCATGAAAAACGTCAGTAACTTGAATGAATTTCCCATCGAATTAACAGACTAAAAATCTCTTTTCAGCATGTTGGACGAAGAGTTTCTGCAACGATGGTCACAACCTGCAGATCAGAACATTCTGAATGCTATTGTGCGCATACAAGCGGCTTATCGCGGATATCGAGTACGACAGCTTCAACAACTTCGTAACCCAACCTACGTAATTGCCCTCGTACTCGGACTTCGTACAGGCCCCGATGGGAATGAAGGCCAAACCGATGGGATGTGCACTCAGCCTACAGGGGTAACGGCGTTTGCTACCCAAGGAAGACTAAAGAAGTTGTTGACTAAGGCCGAGCGCATCGGCAGGGGTTGGAAACTGTGCATGGATATGCTTTTTCGGGCTCACAAAGAAAGTGGAATCGGAGCAGAATTGGTTCACAATTTGGTCCGAGGAGTATCAACCCCTTTCACCAAAGATTTATCTCAGTATGTTAGTTATCGTGACTACCATGGGACACACGCCGAAATTCCAGCTCCAGCGACCGTGATTAACACAATTGCCGGCGATCCAGATGAAGTCAACATTGAGTGGCTTAAACTAGTCTTTCGTGCTGCATTCCAAGTAGTCTCCGAACCGAACGGTGACAAGATGAGGCCAACGGAAATTCACTTCTGTATGAGGTGCCAAAATAGTTTGCCTGGAAGTCATTTGATACTCATGGATAACGACAACGGTGAGTTTGTAATCCTTCTTTGTAATCAAAATAGCTGCTACAACGAAGGTTCACATAAATAACATACATTGTCCGTCCTTTCCAGGTGCGATGCTCCTGCAAAGTTCCTCTGAAGTGGATAATTGGATCAGACTTTGCACGAATAGAAACGGCTACGCATTGTTATGCGTTGCTGGCCCGGGACCGACTTCTCCGTGTTCGTGGCAGCTGCGATTGGTTGGATCTGGGATCTTAGGTGATCTCGGTTTGCCACAGCTACTTGGTCCCATAACTAGACAGCTTTGCACAACGTTCCAGGAAGTTGAGCTGTCCGATTATTACGTGCCACATCCGAAAGGTCTGCTATTTAAACGGCAACTCGAGGTAAGCTCGACACTGAGCAGGACCAAACAGGACGGTTTTGTGCCAGATTGTTGTACGCCCGCAGTTGCAATGGAAATGGTACTCAACCATGATGTAAATGTGTGATGCGAGTGACAAAGTAACGGGAGTGAATACAAACACTGAGTTGGTGCCTCCGAAGCGCTAACTGAGCGGTATGAGAACACTTAGTGATTTATACATCACCAAGGAGCCAACAATCAGCAAAATGAACTTAAATTAGTAAGGGATATCTGCTCGAAGCAACTGCTTGCTTGTATTCTAAGCGATAGAACAACGTGCGTAGTGGGATGATATTTAATTGCTAGGCTGATCAGAATAGCTCCGGTTGATAACGCTTGAAGCACTTGATTCCAATCTCGAGTTTACTTTACAGGATAGCCGTCATCAGTGTCAGAGAAACCAGCGCCATTTAGCTAATTCATATTGGTGCTTAGTGCCTTTAACTAGTAAAAGTGAACGGCTTTTACTTCCCAGAAGTTAATGCTTCTAACATTGTTCACAATCGTATGAAGTACTTCTGACACTCATTTGACTGCGGGTGCGTAGATGTTCTGGTAGAGTGATCGTGGAGTGCGTTGACGCCAGTGATTAACGACACCGAAGTCGGTCGTCCTAGCCGATCTCTTTTAGCAAGGGAGTTAAGTAGCTGGGTATTACCACAGTAGTTTAGAGTGCATACGAATGGATTACCCAGGAGGCGCTTTGGTGTCGTCTGCAACTAAAATACAGGAATAAATGCGTATGTCACGAATTTCCATTCTAAAGGTGGGCTCCTATCTGCCAGTCAGTTAGTTTCCTTGATCACGGTATACCTGTTGTCTAGTGTTTGCTGTCAGTATTTTACTTTTCACCCAGGATAGTTCACCGCTTACATTCAGATTGGTAGGTAAACCGTTAGCACCTAACCTAGTTATTATAGTTGTGATAGACAGCCATTATGGTATCACAAATTATAGCGTCGCCTCGCGTCAAAAATTCTTGAGAACACAAGGATTTAACGAGCACAATCATGCGCTGTGACATCCTATCAGAAATGGTGCAGGAAGACACTAAGGAGATTCTGGTTGACAGCCTCCTTAATAACAATTGACAAGACTGCGTTTGAAACCCCAGAACCTGGTGACACATACAGCAGAACCAACGCTTGTTTCTTTTACAATGAAACCGTCCATCATCAGTAGCCTGGCTTAGAATAACATGATGGTACGAGACGCAGTGTGGAGAGTTTGTTGAGCAAACCATATTCCTGAAACCTGGAGCAATCATCTGCATCACCTAAAGCACCATACAACACATGCTCATGGGAACAAAGTGACATGCTAGCATTGCTTAGCGAGAAAGATTTGTTTGTATCAACAACAAGCTACCGTACAACTATGGATATGGAATTCGCAAACTGAAACCTATGGTCCATCTACCTTATCTCAACACACTAGCTAGCAAAATCACTTAGGAAGCAGAGAATGTTGTACTACTGCAGCGTGTTTTAACCCTACACAATTTAATCGTCCCTGTCACATACCAGCTGCTAACGCACATGAGTTGTGATTTACTCATATTGATATGGGTAGATGCTATACTGACTCGAACTTGTTTTTCCTAGGATCGACGACATTCATTTAGAGTGCTGGAACTGGCGACTAAGAAGCTAACCGCGCCTCTACCGCGATTGCTTTCTTTACTATTGCTTGTATGTACAGCACTTCCGCACAATATAGAAGCGAGATATCATTACATGATTTTTTAGGGTGGTAGCTGTAATGGGACTCTCCTATTGTAGGGAGGCAGAAGACAGTGGTTGCCCGGTGGACAGAATGACCACGAAAACGATGGCGAACGGTGCCGAGAATGGGCGCAAGAAGGGAGAGCAGACGGAGCCACGCTGGCCTGATGGAACGAAATGAGAACGGGTCATGAACGGCGTCCGGTAATTAGTCTGATACAAGCAGAACAGAGAGGGTAGTCGTCGAGACCGCAATAAATCACACAAAGGCGCCGTTCTTGCAGTCTCCCGGTCCGATCCCAAGCATCCACGGCGAAGCAAATTACCAGCTATCGAACGATCAGAATTAGACGCGTAGAAACGGAAATACGGGGTGAAATGAGCAAGTAATGTTCCATCACAAGGTCCTCAAAGTGCATGGACGTGTCTCGAGCGGAAGCCAGGAGAGATGGTGCGTCGTGGTGAGGAAAGGTGACTCACTACTGTACGTCTACGTGAGTGGTGAGGGAGCTTGTGACCGCGCCAATAGAGAATGTGCTTCATTGTCGCGTCCTTCTTTTTACACTATCAGTGAAAGGGATGGATCAAATGTGTGAATTAAACAATCAACGGGAGATGGACATAACGGATTCGACTGCTGGCAACGGATTGACCGATTTAAATGTGGTTTCTTCACACTTTGTTTCTAACTGAGCCAAAGGCTTATAAGGATTGTAAGTTATGAAAGTGAACAGACAATATATATCGAGGAGTTTGGCGTGTCAAGCACGGTGTGAGGTTCGCGGAGTTGGCTTTGCTGAACAAATGCTTGTCTCTGGAGGAGGACGACGGTTTACAACAGTATTTGTTCGGAATAAACAAACTGCCGCTCATCTATCCTCTTCCCATGCAATCGCACGTGTTGCAGGCGATCATTGCTGGAGCATTATTAGACTATTTTGAAAGATAGGACGGGAACAGCACGACTTCCGTCCACACTAGTCATGTGCTACCGAACTAGTGTTTTCACAGGTTGGTTTGGTCGAAGGGCGGATATTGAGACGAGAATTGCCGTTATTTATATGAAACTCTTCCAGGCTTTCAACCATCTGGATTGCCGCATTCTCCTTCACAAACTACGTAGCCCTACCGATAGGCATTTTGTCCTCTGGAAATCGGCAGCTTTCGTCTTCAGCGTCGACCACAGTTGAGAGTTCGATAATCACTGTCTTATCCGATTTAGGTGAAATACTTGTGCCAAAAAGGAACAATGCTGAAACGACTTTAGTTCTGCTGTATCTTGACGTTGTTGAGTAATTATTTTTTTGGAATTTCTGACTTTTCAGCTGCGACGGTAAGATGTAATGCGTGATCGATAATCACAAAGAGCACGGCTTACTCCACCAAGGGTTAGACGGTGTTTATGAATAGGTAGAATGTTCCATCCGCATTGGTAGGTAAATGACAAATATGTGCTCCAAGACCACACCCTGCAGTAAGCTTCCTAGGGAAACAACCTTGGGCTGGTGGTACATAGTGATCTTTGCTGTTCAAAGCAATCGTTAAAGGTGTCGGAAACCAGGAACAATTCCGCCGGCCTCTTGCGGGTTTCATGAATCGTACAACGCGTACATCAGGCTACATAAGCAGTACGCCATTCGGGACTGGAAAGATGACAGCAACACAATTTCAATGTACTCGTGGACGCACGGTGAACCGAAATAAGAAAGGCCTATTTCCACTGCACAGTTAGGCTGAAAATGCTAGCAGCAGACACTGTAGGTCTCAGATCCTGACGGACATTAGTAAAGAATTGCCTCCAAATTGGGAAAATGGGCCATACTACCATCCTGAGGAGCAAGGGGCCGAAGATGACCATGTGACATAGATGACAGGAATTCCACCTGAATTCTCGAGTTTGTCAGCCGGTGAGTACTCATCCGAATCAACTAACTTATGCGTCCAAGTTGTGCAGTATTAAGAAAGATAATACATTAAGCTGGTGGCCCAACAAGAACGGCTATAAAAGTAGCGAACGAGCTGCGGATGCAATATGCCCCCACGTTTCAACCAACCAGCGATCTACCAACCTTTTTCTTCTGCTCGCCAGGACTAATCCACAGCACTTTTACCGCGGCGGCTGTATTGCAAAAGCTGACGTCTCTACGCAAACACAACTCGCCAGGTGTCGACATCATTCGTCCAAAGGCACTGGAAGCAGCAGCAAACCAACTGGCAGGAATTTTAGCTCAGTTTTTCCAACGCTGTTTAGACCAGAATCAAGTTCCCGCCATGCGGAATCTTGGAATAATAACCCGATTCACAAAGATGGAAGCAGAACTGAGCCCTCCAACTACCGCCCAGTATCCCTTCTTCATATACTCTCCAAGGTCATGGAATCCATAGTTGCCGATGCACTGGTGTGCTAGCTGGAAAACTGTAACATCATCACGCCTGAGCAGCACGGTTTCCGTTGACAGCGGTCATGCACAACGAATTTACTAATGGCACACTATAGTTGGACCGAGTCAGCTGACGCAGGAGAAGGCGTCGATGTGATCTACCTGGAATTTTCGGAAGCTTTCAATCGTCTAGACCATCGGATACTACACTCCAAGCTCCTGCATTACGGGATCGGCGACCCTCTTCTAAGCTGGATCACCAACGTTCTACTTCAAAAGGCAATTAGTGGTCAGAGTTCGGAGCTCTTTATCGGACCCCATACAAGTCGAGTGTGGTAGGAAGAAAGGCTCAGTTTGTTTTTTGATGTTTATTAATGATCTTGCACAGAGAATCGCTTCAAACTTCCTAATGTTTGATGACGATATCAAGATTTGGCGCAGGATGCAGGCGAACTTCGACCAGCGTCAACTTCAGAATGACCTAATTACGGTGTGTCAATGATCAACCCAGAACTCACTGCATTTCAACGTCAGTAAATGCAAGATACTTTCCATCCGACATCAAAGCAACGACTACTACCGGCGCAGAACCAATATACTGCAACAATCAGCTGTCGAACTTGACTTGGGTGTCCTGGTTCAAGATGAGTGGAGTTCATCCAGGCAATCCGAAAAGGCATCGAAGACTGGAAACCAACACGTCGGGCTGTTGCGACGGGCGTTTGGACAAATAAACAGCTCCATATTTCGACAAATGCTCAGTGCGTATGTTCGCCCCCATGTCAAATAAGCAATTCAAGCATGGCATCCATGGCTGAAACACGATCTTAATGCACTGGAGCAGCCACAACGTCGGACATCTAAGAACGTAATTGGAATGCGCAATCTTTCATACTAGGAGAGGCTGCAACGATTGGGGGTATTCAGTGGAAGCTATCGCAGACTACGAGGCGACCTGATTATGGCATACTTGATTCTGCGAGACCCACATCATGTGTGCCGCCCTTTACTGCAACTCAGCACCAATACAACCCTGAGGGGCCACTCATTGAAACTCGCTATACAGTATAGCCGTCTGGAGTGCCGCAGAAATTTCTTTTCCATTCGTGTCTGTCACCCGTAGAATGCGCTCCCAGAATCGGTCGTCTCTGCATCGACACTAAGAGTATTTAAAAGACGGTTGGACGATGCACTCATCCACTTACACTTTGTCACTTAACACTACGTCTCCATCCTACACCTGGAGTTTACCATGGAATTATTTGTTGTTAACTGTGGGTGCTGTGAATCTAAGAGGATCGCAGGACTACGGCGGAGCAAACGATAAGTCCTTATTTTCATAGTTAAAGTGCTAACTACTTTGCTGTCATTATTATCATTATTGTTATTTCGATATCCCCACCAACTATCCAGTGGGACTTGTGAAGCAACACTTCTTAACCCGTATAAATTCATTGTTCATTGTTCACTTGCACTAGGCGGGGACGACGTGGCGCAGAATACGATGCGCTTACCAGCATTCCAAATGAAAATGCAGTTGGCGGATTGACATTTGTGCATATTTTAAATCGGTAGTGGGTCCACCGATGCGTAACTGGTTTCCTTGGCGACGCCTGCAATTCTCGACTTGACCACCACACTAGATTTGCTAGTGTTTCGATATTGTACACGTAATAAATATTGCTCAAGTGATTGCTGATCCTCATCTAGGAATCGACCGTTCAGAAGTCCAAACGATGGCCAGAGGTAAAGCATAAGTAGTTCCATTGAGTCAGTAAGGTAACATAGGGTTTTGAACTCAAGTTAATTTTGGTGAATAGTTTCTTTAAGATTGTGCGATGGGTGGAATTAAACTAATCGACACAAGATTAAACACCAGGTACGATATTTTTGGGATCTACATGCAACTCAGTGACCTGGTCCGGCCTTGGCGGTTCGTTTACTATGTGAAATAGGCACAGTCAGCTTAAGACTCGCAGCGTTTCCTCGCATGTCAGGTAAGTTTTAGTTGGTTTCACCTATTTCATGGACATACGAACTTCGATTCCATCTGGCATTTTCACATCAAGTCTAAATATTCATTCACATTCAGCTGTCCTACACAAACGCCAGCAATGATCATTTATGTGCACAGTAATCATGCTCATAGAAAACCCTTCGATCTATTTGCTGACCTTTGACCACAATATAGACTGAAATGTTCTCCGAATTCCATCACATTTAATGAATTTACAGATACTGTTGATGTTACTGCCTACTCAGGTTACACAGATTGTCATGACCACGTGGTGCTGTGCCACTCTCTGTTCTTCTTTCGAACAGGTCTCCAAAACGCAACTACTAAGCTTTCAGTTGCGAGTTTCCGCTCCAGACGTGCCGCTTTGTCTGCTTCTGCGAAGGAACGGAACAGTGGTAGCTAGCGCCCACAGCAGAGGAGATGCACGTATATTGTCTCATCTAGTGGAGTTCACTCCGCCAAAAGAATCGTCGAGAAGCGCTACTGACGAAATTGACGCGAAAGTGGAGGTTATCACAAGATCGTCAGCACGAAGAAAAGGTTCAAGGTCACCGTCCATCCGACGAGCACTACAAGCCAAGCAGTCCGGCCGAACAGACAGCGTAAGCTGAAATTGAAACTTTCAGCTTAGCAGGCTAGACAACGATTTCTTGACCAACAAAAGAAGCCTATCTCTAGGTTTGGGTAGATGATGAAACTTTACGTTGGTCGCATAGTACTGTCCACACCCGCGACCGTGCTCAGGAGGATGTGCCTGGGCTAATTACTCCTTGAACTCACAACTATCATCAATTCGTAAACTTTTCCGGTCCGGAATGCTGCGGGACTGCCATGATCTACAGCTGCATTCAGTAAAGAGATTACGATTGGAAGACCTAAGAGAAACACCAGAGTCTTATGACTGGTGTGCCTGACCTCGAAATCGGCCAGCTCCTCAGAATATGGGGGTAGTTTATGAGATAACAGATCAGGGAGGGAAGGTGAGCTGTTTCATCACCTCAACAAACACGAAATTTGGGATACCTGCATCCTTCAGTTTTCAGGGTGATAATGATCACTATTTATGTGTTTAAATTCGGAACGAATAATCGTAGCTAACTGACCCATTCAGTCAATCCAGGCCTATTCAAAAAGCGACTTGACGGCAAACTGACACAGTTATGCTAAGTAATATAGCCTATGACCATGGTATTAGTGCAGAACAAACAGCGAACGGTGTTACAATCCTCTTAAACAACAGGCAGGAGCACTCACCACTGTGTTACTGGTTGAGTCATTTATTTTTCACGTTCTTCTATCGACATTGTTTAGCTTGTAATTTTCATCCTACGGGACTTGTCATGGATTTGCAGTTACACCCGTTATAAACCATTGGTCCATTGCTACAGCCTACCGACCTACGGAAGTCACATGGAGTGCGATCTGGTGCCTCAGTTAACATAAAGCATGCCTAATCGCCCTAGACCTGGAGGCCGGTATAGATACGTCTAGAACGACCGGATAACGCATAATCCTGCGGATAGTGTGGTTTAGTACAGTACCAGGTACTGCTGAGGAGTTGCACAAACGTCACTTTGTGACACGTTTGCTCATTCAGATGAATCCTCTGAACCTCAAATGCCTCAATGATAACGGTTACTAGTATACTTTGAAGGCTGATTAGGACTGGGTTTTTTCGTATCGTTTTTACTGCTGAATTCCTGAGTTTGATAGATTTAAGCTGCGTTCCAAGCTTGAGGGGCTGATTCGAGGGATAGTTTTCACAACTAGTTTATCTGAACGGTGACCTAATACCGTGTCCGGGTAAACACATTTAATCTATCCGCAAATCGGTCCCGGTAGCGATTGAGGCGCACCAGTGAGCAAAGACAGAGCTTTCCGCACGAGTAGGACTACACCAAACTACCAAGCGGACATACATACTCTGACACCGGGTGAAACTAACAGCTCCCTTCATGCATACGTTAAAGGTCCCATATAATGCCGTACAATAACCCTATGTTAGCGGGAAGTTAACACAAGAGTGTCACACGATTTAATTCCGGAAAAGTTTTCCTGCATATTTTCAAGTGCGTATTACAGAGAAAATTTTCCGGAATTAAATCGTGTGACGCCCTCTTTATTAACACTTCTGTAAAACGTTTCCTCGTGAACTAATTGTTTCAATCCTATGTTAGTTGACGGAATTGCTGCCTGCGACAGAGCTCGATTTGTACGTAATTAAGACAAAACTGACGTGTGCGAGTAATAAATTGCTCCTTTGCTTTGGATATAAATAGTCAGAACGGGTTTCTGCTCAGTGTCAGCGCTTGACAACGTGAAGGATATGTGTGTTGCGCGTTATCTACCAAGGGTATATGCTATGCACCGATAGCCGGCATTATGGACTGATTGCCGGTGACAAAAGTGTGCCACAAAAATGTTGTAGGCAAAGTAATGCAAAAAGTCGCTGGTCACATTCAGAAAACCCGTTGAACTCGATGGCACACCGTGGGTTTGATAAAATCTTGTTGGATTTCAACTGGAAGACTACGGGACGCCCTCCTCCGCATGAAACAGGCGTATGACAATGAATTCGGAGAACGCGACGCAGTTTGGCATGCCGACTGTGTGACGATCAGTCGGTAAACACTTGTCCAATCAGTTAGATTCTGTGTGTTTGTGTATGCGTGTGTGTGTGTGGCCCCCCCCCCCCCAGAGAGCACAAGTGTCAGTGCGTGCGCCGTTATTCAAGCGCGGTGTTGGCAAACGCAGTCGTCCGGCCGTTCCGTCAGGACAACAGCTTAGTGCTTCACGCTGCTCACAACCCGTGTCACCTCGTTCGGGTGATTGGATTGCAGAGGAAATTGAAATTAGACACGGTGAATCCGAGGTTTTAGGATAGCCATCGTAAGGACACTTGAACACAGCGATTCTATCAACTGTATTAGGTAGTACCTAGTAATTTTAAAAACCAGAGATGAAGTAACTAGGATGGATCAATGTACTTATCACCCCCAAATTGCAAAAGGTAAAGCGTTGGACTTACCACAAATTTCACACGTACACATAGTTTGGTTACGTCTTCGCTTGTCCCAGTAGCTTGAGTTAAATCATATCATACAGTTGGTGCAATGCATTATGAAGTCGAATTTTTAATTTTGGATAAACTAGGAGCGATGACAGAATGTGGGAGTAAGTTCCATGGCTGCAACGCACGAATGGAAAACACCTTACAGCGGCATTCCAACCGGCTATACTACACTGTGTCGCTAACTTCAATCGGTCTCCTCTCAGTGAAGTGTTCTGGTTGCGTTTCAGTAAGGGATCCGTGACGATCTGATACAACAGTATTAGATCACCTCGCAGACGACGATACTGTCCACTGAAAACTCCTAGAAGCTTTAGTCTAATCTGTTAACAGAGTTGAAGCAATTTCATGATATGTTTTGTCGTCTTCCGCAGTTGATTCTCCAAACTTTTGTGGGCATGTTTTTGCCTTATTCCACATGGCGTTTTCTGTATGTGGTCTCATGTATGCGTTTGGCATTTGCGAAAGTGGTGAGATTAAACCGACCAAACTCCCTCCGCGTGTTGGCTGGCCTGTCTTGAGCATCCATGATCACCCTGCACAAACACCCCAAGATTACTTCCTTGAGGAGTGCGCTGATAAACGTGTTCTCCGAGTGGATATTCGTAATTGTTTTTGTGGCGCATGCTTATTATTTTATACTTGACTGGGCTAGACTCAAGCACGTTTTGCGCCGACCACTCATAAGCCCTGTCGAGATAAGCTTGCTATGTGATCGTCCGCTCACTTGATTGCCCGCCACATCTTGAAATCTGCCAAGAAGAGTAGAAACTTCGACGTCAGCGCTCCCTCTAGGTCATTTATGAACACTGGAAATAGCCTTGTTCCTAGTACCGAGCCTTGAAGTACGCCATAGTGAACCTCTATCGGGTTGAACAGGGCTCTACGAACTGGCATATCCAAGCGGCGTTGGAGTGAAGATGTATGTATTCAACCCAAGATAAAGCCGCCGTTCTCACAGCTCCGAAGCTTGTAAAGAAGTGTGCGGTACGCTAGGCGATTAAGTACCTTTGAGAAAGCAAGGTATGTGGCATCGTCTCCATTCCCAGCATTGACGGATACCGCCCAACTGGTACAGGCTAACATATTTTTGTGGTATATGGACGGATTTGGCGGAATCCATGCTGCTCCTGCACGACAAAATAGTAGCATTCTAAATACCGAATGAGTGTTTCTGCGAAGAGAGATGCCATGACCTAAGGGAGTACGCGAAGAAGAGATTGAGTAGGGGGAGTTTCCGGGCACTGCACGATTGCCAGTCATATATATGGGGTATCTATTTCGCACATCCACATAGTTGGGACTTGCATCTCGTCTAGACAGCGCTGGAAAAACTTAAGTAACCATCCAGCCAAGTTCATGGCAGCTACCGAAATAGGCATGGGTCGTCTTGCAGCGAGAACGAAACCAGAGGGGGCAGACCGTGTATGGCCACAACAATGTGCCACTGACAACTCACAAACCCGTAGATATGGACCGTGTTTACTTTCCACGACGCATCGCGGATGAGGATTTGTGAGATGGGCCATTTCATGTGCGTACGAGGTTGAGCTTTCAAACAATCCCTCCAACTTTTCCTCCCGTATCTCCACTTTTCTATATCCGATTCTGGCCAACCATGAGTCGTTCGAAAGCTCGTGATTTGCTCTCCCGTGGCTGCATCACTTGGGCCGTGTTCACTCTTGTGGGCCTTGCTAGCGGCGTATTTGTCTGATTCATTGCGTTATCAACAAATACCTCCTCCGTTGTTCTGGGCCCAAGCTCGTTACCAGATACCACTTGTGATCCGCTGGTGGCTCGATCCACAATGCTCACAATGTCTTGTCTCTTCTCATCCATTGCCCCCGTACCTAACTCTCTACTTTCCCATTTTTGTTATTCCAGTTCACGAGTGGTCATTGGTTTCGGCAGCCCTACAGTATGTTAGCCAGACCAAGTGTCTTGACTCGCTATTGACTTCAGTCACTACAGGACACTCGCGGTGGTTAAGATGTAGCTAAGTCCTAGTGGCAATGTGATACGTGTGAGAATGATGTGAGATGGCAAAGTGTTCTGGTAAGTACAAGCGAATTGATGTCCATGCGCTTTAGGTACTTCTTGGGCAGTTTGCGTTTGCCCAGATGCCGTGTTTGGAGGCGGGATGCCATGCTGTGCTTTGCGACGTTTGTAAATATGTCTATACAGTAGCTTAGTATTGCAGCAGGATATCTTCGCCAACTCCTGTTGTCGTTCGAATTTGTCTTCGCGGACCACTTTGACACAGTGGTTTCGCTCGGTCATGTAGACATTCCAATTGCTGACGTTTGTTTTGTTGTTCAAGTCGCTTATTTCCCTTGCAATCAAGGGAACACACTTGGCTTGCTAATATTTGCTGCATAACACACCAGACCTAACCGTTTTATCGCAGCCGCAAATGACTTTTTTCTGTGTCCCACTAGGCTTCGTTATGAGTTGGACCTCGTTTCGAGTCGAACTCGGTACTCGTTTCCGTGAACCCCAAATGGCAGTCGAGTAACTGAAATGTCATCCGTGATAGTGAAAGTGACACACTGAATGAACCAGTGTGTTCTATAGGACTGACTTCAAGCACGACTTGCTTCCGGTGAAAAAATGAGCAAAACTCGATGCAGTGTGAATCGACAAACATATTTCCACAATGGTAATTCCGAATGTACATAAGTGGCCTATGCGTAGGTTTGTAGGGGTAGCCTGGATGTTGATCAAACTAGGGCTAAATCAGTTCGCGTTGTCTGTACTCCGTCCAGTGGCGTAGCCTAGGGAGGGGGGGCAGGGTGGCGGTCCGCCACTGGCGGCATGTGCCAGGGGGGCATATTAGTACAGTCTAGTGTTCGATACCAAATATAAAGGGAACAATAATCGGATAAGTTGAGGGTTAAAGATTTTTATCTTACTCTGTACGGTTAACAACACATTTGCGCGATGTGTCACACCTGTCCAAACGTTCGCCCCAACGATCCCCTTACGTGTTCCTTTGTGGCCACTTTCACCACAGTTAGGTGTTAAAACGAACATCCATTTCATCAAAAACTACTGTGCACATTACTCCGGGCTGATTGGGTGACCACGAGTCTATTCTACCCGGAATCAGACTGAAAACTTTACCACCGCCCAGGGCGCCAAAAGTAATTGCTACGCCACTGACTCCGTCTCTGTGGTGAAAGCCGCGGCAAACGATAACTGAGCACTTGTTTGTAGACGCGGTTTTTCAATTAACCACAATAATGTGGATAACCAAAAGTCATGCTCGGGGTTTATGACGAATTAACACGGAAGAACAGTAAATCTTGAGTTTGGACATACCGACATACTGAAGAGATAATATAGGATGATAAAAATTGCCACATTACAGTATATAACTCACAGACACTTTGGTTCGCTCCCCACTATGGCGCGAACGATTCTGTTACCTCTACAGCATAATCATCACCGTTGTCTGGTCTCGATAGTATAGGCGAAGTTAGACGGATTGCTAGCCTTTAGATATTGTCAGCCTTCTGACTGCGTATATCCGTGATGCAGTGTATTGAAACTGAGTGAAAATCTCGACCACTACATTTAAAAGCAAATGAGCCCGGTGTAATTCTCTCCTAACATGCGCCCCACGTCCGGTTCCGTGCGTGTTCGGGGGCACGAGCTACATGTACTTGGAGATGATTCCTTGAATACTGGACCACTAATTTCTAAGGGAACCGTTAACCCAGCGGCTGAGATAACGTATGACGGTTTAAACATACGGCTAGTACCACAAAACTCCTCAATGAAAGTCTAAGCCGATTCGTATACTTGGGCAGCAACGTTTTCTTTTTGACATAACCACTTCACTGGACTAAGTGAACTTGCTGCGTATTGGCTTTGCATTTATGTCGAGCTGGGTTGGTAATCACGACGAGCAAGTAGTAAGTAAGAGAACATTCATGTTGCAGGCTTAAAAACTTGTTTCAAATAGATCCTTACCGATGCAGAGATCCCAAGTGAACGATGATATGACACATTAGCCATTGCCAGTGATGTGGGTAGTGTGGTTTGACGAGCGCTCTCTGTCTCGAGCCTACACCCTTACGCTCCTCAGACTGGCCGGGTTAAGACAGCCACACATCGGACAACTCCACTCCAAGCATTCTGTTTACATAGCTGTTAACTTTGGGGAATTCGAAAGCCTCAGCAATCTTTCCTTGGGGTGTTGCTTACAACCCTCTCCTAATGATCTCGCTATTATCAAAGGCGGTTTCACTCCGTGTCTAGCGCCTTTCCCGTCACCGCCGAATGTCTCAGCATCCAGGCTCGTTCCTAGGTTGCGGTGACATGCGTCCCTTGTGTTCTGCTAACCTCATGCCCAACCCTCTAACCGTTTGGCCTATGTATGCGCGTGCACAATCTTCTGAGGCATTTTTGTAGACGCAGTTGGTCGTGTGTGCCAAAAGTAAGGTGGCCAGAATTTTCGTGGACCAAAGCGGGACGCTTAATCTACCCCCCGTTGTTTCAGCATATGCAGACCGTACAAAAATTGGCATTTAAATATCTGATGTACTCAGATATTACTTCACTGCATTGGCAGAGGAGGATAAGACGCGCTATATCGCAGTTAGCTTGTAAATCATGACGGTCCGGAACTGTCCCCCGTGGCCCAGTGGCATAAGCTGCTGACTGACGGTTCAAGCCGCTAGTGGTCATGGTTTCGGATCCTGATGGATCCGATGGATGCGCACTACTGAAGATGTCCAACAGGCTGAAACTACAGTCTAGTGCTTTTCCGGGCATGTGGACGACTAT